AAGTCTCCAACGAGATCCAGATGGATATTGCCAACCTATGCACCCATCCAAAGTCTCCAAACATGTATAGGTATGTTGTGATGTGGAATCGAACGCACGGGATGATCGCAACAGCTGCAATCTATGTAGATCAAGCTTCGACGATTCGTGTTTTGACAGCTGCCATCAACCATTGTTCGTCCACAGGTGCGATGGTTCTCAGTGATGAAGGCCGTGACTTGACTGCGCTCATTTCTGAACTCATTCGATTGAAGGTAGTCTCAAGGCATGAGACCAGTCGTCCAGGAAGACACGCAACTGGAGCCGAGAGAGCAGTTAGGACCCTCAAGACTCAACTAGGATGTATTCGTACAGTGTTGTACCAGCACGGGTTGATGCTAGGTAGTGAAAGCCTTCGATATGCCGCAGCAAACGCTTGCCATGTCCACAATGCATTTCAGCTGCAAGCCAACAGTTCGCTGACACCGTATCAACGTATGCGCATCAGTGTAACTAGTTCAGGAGAAGTCCCAAACAACAATCGTGTGATGCCATTTGGATGTTTGGTTTTTGCCAGGCCGACTGATGGGTACTTAGAAAAGGTCAGAGAAGCAAACGCTCGTCACTTTGTTCCAGGCATTTACTTGACCCCAAAGTTATCTTCGTTAGGTCACTTCGTTGCCTTCGAAGGTTCACAGGATGAGACTGTGGTTGTGCCTGTTCGAGATTTGAAGATTGCCTCACCGATTCGTTTTGTCGCTGGACTTGGGATGTTGTGTGAAATTCCAAATTCCAAGAGCGGAGTGAAGCCAGACAGGATTGAAAGACTACCGAATGATCTTTCGAAACCCCAGAAATTGGTTGATTTGCCCATCCATGAAGGGGAACCACCTTGGTATATTGGAGTGAAGTGAATAAGACTTCGAGATGCCCAGCTTGTTCGAACGGGAGTGAAACAGGTCATTCAGTGAAGTGTCGGAACCGTTACAAAAAGTATCTTGAAGAAGAGTACAAACGGATAGTACCGATCGAAGACGAGTCGTCTGTGCCCGTCGTGCCTGAAGGTTAAGACGGCCGAACCCTTATAAGACAGGAGGATGTTAAAGCTCATCAAAGTCTCGCCAAAAAGTTCAACTTTGTGTTGTCCAAACATAGCCCAAACCTCGCCCCTTCAAAAGTTTGTTCAGCCAAACATAGAAGGTTC